AGTTTCATTTTTTATACCCTGGATTTATCATGTGTTCTCTCCATCATTATGATGATTGGAAACAAATTAAAATGGGTTGTTTGATATATATGTTATAAATTTTTTCGTGGCAATTTTTCGCGTTTTTGGATTTTTTTGTTAGTTTGTTCTTAGGAGTTTGATTGCCGGTTATTATTTTAATCAAGATTTTTGCTTCTACTCTTTGGTTTTGAATTCTTTCTTTTCATAGTTCTTTTCCTCTTTTCCTGGTTTATTGCTTAAAGTCGTATCGTAATACGACAAGTAGCTAGTGAAAAAGTTGTTCAAATTCGTTCATTTGTCCACGATCATTATTTGGTTTTACTTGATACAGTACTACTCTTGGTGAGGCACAATACAATAACTTGACGAAGATGTCAACCTTGTGAAAGAGTTTGAAATCAGCTATACTTCACTATGGTTAAACAAGCTAACTTCCACAAAATTTTTTTGATGAAGTGCTAAAAAAACTATGTTTTCACACTTCCGATAATTATAGCATGAGACACAATGTTAAGTGTACACAATGATAAGTTAGAAAGCAACCAGCTAACGCAGAGTCACTTGAATGCCATTACAGCTTCTTGATTTGAATTTATGCAATCGAAACGAAATAGGTTTAGTGAAGTATCTCTATCTTTTTGAAGTACTTAGTAATGGGTGATTCTCCGATTTTTGACCCGATGTGTTGCGCAAATTTTCCATTAAAAATGCGATTAAACGCAGAAAAAATATCGCGACGTGACTGCTACTATTGTAAGTTTAATAAGTAATTGTAGCATCCATGCGTATTTTTAAGTTGCCTAATGAAATCAAGATAAAAACTCCCTCGGACCATGTTGCTGTCTAAACAGATACGGAGAAAGATATAACATAAAAATATATATGTATATCGCTAATCAGCTGAATGTTTTTTTCCAACATAAGGAGAACAACTTGCTCCTTGTATCGCAAAAACCAAAGCAATTAATTCGATAGAAGATGTTCAACACTCAGTTTACTTATTTCAATGTACCTTTCATGAAGATCTCAGTACAATATTCATATTACAAGCTAATAATTTTTCTGGTGCCGACGAAAGTAGCAACATCTGTCCGATAAAAACCGCTTAGATCATTGCTCCGTATCTAACTTGTTTGATGAATTTTAGCTTGGTAAAAGTTTTCTCGAAAAAGATTGTAAACGTTTCGTTCCACAAATATGGAAGCAGTTTAGATCCAACCATTGCTTTCTGACAAATATGCAGCATAATTTTCTCGCTGATATAATTATTTTGAAAAATTGAATTGGTTTACCCGACGTAATGGATTTTCGACAAAACTTTGCTACCCTCGATGCTTTAGCGGAAACACATGAAAAAATCAGATTTCATAGTAGCAACGATATTCGATGCAACATTTCTAATAGAGATGAAGAAAGCGTTCGATAAAATTTGTCACCCGCTTTTATTAAATAAATTCAAGTATGATTTTGGGGGCGTTGTCCTTCGTTGGTTTTGCAGCGGTTTTTCTGACAGTGTAATATCTAACATTGTAGTATCTAATTGAAGATAGTTTTCATGGAGTTCCACAAGATCGCAGAAGTTTTGACTTGCAGAGGTCTTTTTCCCGAGTCGCAGCTTGACTATACTTGTTGGAGTTTCGTCTTTACAAAAAATTCATGCAAATACCATTTTCTGACAGTAAAAACAGTAAAAAAAAATTCCGGTTCAAAAAATTTCGGTCTGTTAGTTGTTTGCTGATGTTTTTTCGGCTTAGTTGCCACGTCTAAGAATTGTTTTTTTTTGCTGCTTACAGTTTTCGCTGTATTTGCTTAAATTGTTTTAGCATTTTAAAAGTCCGGCCGAATCGAAATTTGTTTTTTACATTGGTTGTAATTTTACTAGTTCGATATGTGAAAAATGCATTCTTTTTTAATTTTTGCCTTGTTTTATCGGCTTAATAAGTTTCGGTTTTATTTGTATCGAGCTAGTGACCTCCTATTGCGTCGTTTGGGGATCAAAAAAAGCTTAGTTTGCGTGCGTGTGTTCTCATGGGAAAGGGACATAACATTTTTAAAGTAGTTAAGAATTTTTTTGTTGCCAAAGCTTTCTGCTCAAATATTTTTGTCTTTGTTACCGTTTGCTTATTATAAGTTCAAATTTAATCAATCATCGGGCGCATCTGGAGTAGAGGTAACCCAAGGGTTGCGGTTCGTATCCTGTCGAGACCGTTTTTTTTTACAAACTAGAGTTTTTGTGCTTTTTCGGGCTATCGCCCGTCTGTTTATTTTTGTCGGATTAGTTCCCGTTTTTTTAAGGTTCAGTTTTCTTCCAAGTTGCTTTAACTCCCCTACTTAAGACGACAAAATATTTTCAATGTTTGGTTTCAGTTTAGCATCCAAAATATTTTTATTTCAAGTTTCTATGATGCAAGCAATTTGCTTCCGGATTTTTTGGGCTTTTGGTGCAAATTTTTATTGGCAGCCACGATTTTTGAAGTTTTTGTTTTCATTTTTCCCGTTTGATTTTAATCATAGTCAATCATATTTGAATCGCAAGTGGTGCGAAGCTCAGCTTCGCGTCTGTGTAAAAATGTAAAAAAGGTTTTTATGAAAACTACTTTTTTTTCCTCAACTGGTGTCTGCTCAAAGTTGTTGGCTTTGTTACAGCTGCGTAAGTTTTGTTTCGATGTCAGATGTTTTCTTTCAATTTTCTTATTTTACTTTTTCTAATGAACTTTATATAAGACAAATTCAGACAAATATATGACTTTTTGACTCAATTGATGTCTGTTGGTTTTTGATGGTATGTTTGTGCTGCATCGCAAGTGGTTAGAAGCTTTGCTTCCTTTCGTTGTAGATCTTGAAAATATTCATTTTTTTCTACATAAATCGCATAGTAATTTGTTGGCTTGGTTTTTGTAGTTAGTTGCTCAGTTCACTTTCGATAAATATTCACCAGTTATTGGTTTTTTATAATCGTTTAATTCATCGTATAAATCTTATTTCTCGTCGTTTTATATCTTTATATCCTATAATTAGTACAAAACACTGGGACCAGTGCACTCTATTTTGTAGTTGCACTTAAATAACAGTGATTTTTGCTTCCCTGTCTATCCAGGTTTAATTCATGTTCTTTTGTTTGTTATTTTGTGGCTGTCTGTCTCTAAGATTAGCGATCATTTGTAAATCAGCGTTGTCAAAATTTATGCTGCTTCAAAAACAGTCTAATTTGCAGTGAAATGTGTGACTGTGAGACTGTATGCTGCCTAATTTCACCAGATAATCCAGAGTGGTTCAGTTTTCAAATCTCCTCCCTTGGCGGCCGCCTTACCTCTTACCGTATTTCTCCCCGCGCGCCATTGTCAGTTGAGCTCCCTTGGTCTGAGTTAGAATAGCCTCTGTATTTTAATTCAGCTGTGATAACTTGATTATAGGAGCATGCTAACAGTTCCAAATGAATTTCCCCTTTTTGACTGAATTTACTTGTACCTGGTGGATGGATATAAAATGTATAAAGCTAATAATGTTCAGAAATTTTGATACTGTTTCCATTTCAAGCTTAAACAGCCCTGCGGAAACAATATTCGTGTTCTGTTTTTATCTTATCTTAGCCATGGTAATTTTATGGCTTGGAAAGTAATTGAGAAAAAATCCTGCTTCAACGAAATCCATTATGACCTATGGAGGCATATGGGTGAATTGGCGTATTTGTGAAAATAACACAGCATAGTCCTGCTGAATTAAAACAGCTACTGTGGGCTGGCTTACTTGCAATGTTAACCGTTAGATGTGTGGCGATTGCTCTTTTTCTTTACCTATATCGAGCTTGTTATGAAGATTAACATATTAAGTACTTGAGACCTTATATTGAAAAAAAGATAGTCCATTTGATCGAAACTCAACTGAGCGTGTGTTTGAGCTTGCGTATTTTTTCGCATAACCAATAAATTCAGTTTTTTTTTCATTGTTTACAGCATTTGAATTCAAAAAATCTATTTGAGACTTGCATAATTTCGGCATTATTTACTTTGTCGGCTCTATGCTTATAATAGTTTAATTTCTCTTTTCTTAAGTGTGATTGTAATTCATCTAACGCGCAGAAGCCGTTGAACCATCCATCTGATTTCACCAACAGTGTAAACAGAGGACAGTTTTTCTTTTTTGTGGTGCATTTTGTGGTTAGAAGCCGTAAACTTAACTGTGATATATACCAGAGTTGATATATTTATAGTTTTCCCGTGGTATAAATATTTTGAACTAGATCTGGATTCAACGTCGGATTTTTGTGCAGTGAAGTGTGACTGAAAAAAGAGAGCACTGCTTCAAAACTGAGCTGAAGTTTTTGCTGGCCATGAACCAGAAGTTTTTCCAAAGTTAAAGTGGCTAGGTTAATTGAAGGAGCGCTTTTGTGAATATTTCTTCAATAATCAAGTATTCAAAGGCTCCAACTAATTTTTTTACATTTGTTTTATCATCGTTCTTTTATCAACATACGCTCCAATTTTCAACATTTTTTATGCAACCTAATTCAATATTTAATCATTAGCGTTAAAAACGATATGAAGCCGGCTGAAAAATGAAAGGAGCTGTGTCAATTTTGAAAAGTTAAGATGCAAATGATATAGAGTCGGCTGTTTTCCTTCAGGAAAGCGGCTTTTCAATTCAATTATTTTTAGTTAATTGAATTTCGTTTTTTAATAGATTTTCCTGAGCTCTATACGTCAGAAATCCATTTGATGTCGGTAATTTTGCACCATTAAAAGCAAATTGGTTCAGTCTTAAGTTTAATTTCTGCAATGATCTCTTTGTTTCTGTTTTTATTTAGCTTCAACTGAAAGTATTAGCTGCAATTAGTCTATTTTTTTGTTCCAGTTTCAACTGACAATATTAGCTCAACTTCAAAATCTTATGATTCTCATTTTCTGTTACTTTAATTAAAAAGGAGAAACTTTATATTTTCCATGTTTTGTCTCTTCCAAATATTTCTTCGATTTTCTTAGATTTTAGTAAATCTAAAGGAAATTCTTCTGGTGAGCTAATTGATTGTGTTAAAATTGACTAGCGTTTACTTTATCTTTGGTTGCCTGACTCTGCGTAAAAAGTGATTTTTTAGGTACTCTTGAGAACACTAGGTGGGTCTAATGGTGTTACGAATTCATCCTTTAGCGTTTATCTTCCTTCTTAACTAAATTGAATTGAATGGATTGAATTGAGCTCAATTTGTACCTATTTTCTCTTTCTTTTCGCTTAACCTGCATGTATTAATGCAGTTGTGTGCTCTTCTTACCCGTTCGCCCATGCAAATCGCCCAAACACTTGTTCTTTGGCGAATATGTGTCCCATCTTTCGTGTGCTTATTCAACAGCCACCACCCAGTCCCAGTTTAAAGTGTTCAATTTGTATCCTTCTTCTATTTTCTCCTCGCTTCTCTTCAATTCACAATTCTATCGCAGAGCATGGGTACAGAACGGGATGGCACTAGTATGTATACGGCGGTTGTTGTTTTCACAGCGAGCTTGAGAGAAGATTCTGCTGCCCCGTTGATTATTCTCGCCTTCTCCCAATCTTTTCACTCTTAATTGTTTCTTCTTCTCATTCCTATTGTGTGTTCGAGATTTTTCTTTTTCTCTTCAGCTCCTCTTTGAAAGCAAATGTTGTTTCTATTTGTGCTAGCTTGTCCTTACCCCCTTACTTTTCCAACCCACCGGTCCTATGCACGTAAAAGTGCTTTGGTGGCCTTTCTCCATTTGCAATGTGTTTAATTTTTAATTGCTAGCTTTATTTCCAATTTAAACATTCCACCACAAATTGTCGAGGCGCTGGAGAAAATGGCCGTCTGTACAATAAAATTGTAAGTCTTCTTAGTAATTTAACTTGCTGTAGCAAGTGCACCTGTAACCGGGAGCTAAGTTTTTTTTTCCGTAAACAACTTTTCATTAAAATGTGTAAGAAATACGTGCAGCTAATGCAGTTACTTTCACGCGCTGATGGGTAAGTTCAGTTTTTTCAAAATCAAATGAAACTTTCATGTTACGTCATAATTTTTTCAAATAGTTTTTTTTCGGGTTTGTGGTTTTCGTTTAATTTCTGTCGGCTCATTTTCACTTTTTTGTTCGAGTGCATTGTATATTTTCTTGTACGCTTTTTTAGCAATTTTCTTTCCCAAGCTTGGGTTGTTAATTTGATATAAACAGTTTTTACTATAATTGAAATTGATTTTGTAGTTTGTAAGTTTACGGACTCCGATTTTTAATAATTGTATATTTTCAATAAAATATCATATCAGCTTAGTGAATTTATATGCGTAGTTTCATGAGAAACATTTTAAAATGTGTTTGCGTTTCAGGAGATATAGGTCGTAAAGACTTTTTATCTTGCATTTTTTTATGGCCATTTTTGTTTTCGGCTTAACGAGGGTCGACCCAGTGTTTGTCGCCTTAGGTGCCACTGGGCAAATGATTTTTAATGCTTTTTGAGGCAGCTTATGAACATCATTCATGTATCAGGAGGGATGGGTCGTACAAAATTATTCCAAGTTTCAATACGGTTTTGGCTTTAAAGTTTAATATGACCAGTTTTGTTTTCATCTTTACGAGGTTCGAGCCAATTATTAGCATCTTGGTTGCCGCTCGGTAAATGATTTTCAATGCTTTTTAAGGCCGTTTATTATCATCTTTCGAGACAAGGGTATAAAAATTTTTTAATTGGCCTCAAAAATCAGTCGAAGCATTCAGGGCCTCGCCCTGATGTACGAGCTGAGCGGTATTGTCTTGTCTTAAGAATGTGTTTCAGATCAGTCGTCAGGGTTGGTTTAAAAATGTTTTTGAGTATTTTCTTATACTTTTGAATTGGTTTAAAACAGTTTTTCCTCGGCAAATTTTAATTCAGCATCTGTTGAAATTTGAAAAGCGACCCAACAAGCAAGTTTATGAACAGTTTTTCAGGAAGTTTTCATAGCAAAATCTGGATGAGTTGAGGAGCCGCAAAAAGAAAGCAAGTTGGCTCGAGACGTTTCCGTATATCCGATGGATGTATCCCATCGATGAGAAAACTCTCTCTATTTCAGCCGATGAAAGAGCCATCGACAACAAAATCTTCCATTTCAAAAATTCATTTGTTTGAAGATTTTGCCGCTCTGATGTTTTAAAACAATCAACAAAAACGGCCTTGTTTTAAAACAGTTTTTTTAAATGGATTTAAAGCACCCTGTTTTAAACCATGCGAACCCTGTCGGTTTTTGTGGTTTTTTTTCCTTCTTACTTTCATATTTCCGTCGATTGAATTTACTGTTAATGAATATTTTTTGTCCATCAATTTTCAGTGGTAGATTAATGTTTTGAAAAATCATGTTTTCCTTGCACTAATTTCAAATCGTGTCAAAATTTCGTAAGGTTGTTTGGTTTTCCTTATTGCTGAGTTTTTTTTTTGCTATTGTTCGAATGTTTTGGCCTTCGAGAGCTTGTGTTGCAATTGCCCATTTTTTTTTCATGAAGCTCAATGTAATTCTGCTGAAAGTATGTTCTGAAACTTTCTAAAAAATTTTTGAAGAGAAATTTTCCTTAACAAAAATTAGCTGTCCTTATTTTTTGCAAGTGTTGATAACTTGAAATAATTTGTGTTGAGTAGAATTTTGTTTCTTCTGAAATCATGGTCGAAATTGCTCGTTTATATATTTACAGCATGCCAAAATGCCTCAGTTTTTGTTCTTAAATGTGTAGGAAATTGATCGTTTCTTTTCATTACAGTATTTCATTGCCCCGCATGAATTTCGCCTAGTTTCAGTCATAAGTCAGAGTTTTGATTCAGTGAAAAATTAAAAGTTTAACTGATATGTAGGAAACTGGCGTGTGTTTTTGTAAAATAACTATTTTTTTTTTCCAATAAAGAGCAAGAAAATGAGTGCAATTTTAAAAATTTTTTGGTTTTTTTTTTCGTTTTTCATACTTAATGACTCAAAATTTTTAAATACCGCGAAATTTACTTTTAATTAACTCTCAATTTGATTTTCGTGCGATTAACATATTCCTTCAGCTATTATATAATTTTTATACACATACGAGCTAACGAACGTTGTGTCAAGCGAAAATAGCAGAGATGCGAGGACGTGAGACTCTTAAATCTCCATGTCTGTGGTGCGGTTCCCGCACATAGTAAATTGTTTTTTTTCAAGGCTTATTTTTACTCTTTCTTTCCTTAATTAATTTTTTAGCCTTTGTAGAGCTTAGTTGCAGTTTCTAGCCCGTGTTTTGAACAAATTTCATCGCCCTTTCCTCGATGAAAACGGCAGAAATTTAGTTGAAATGAATTCTGTTGTTCTTCCGTGCTACTTCTAGTTGGACTTTCTAAGCTACTTGCACGGCAACAGGATCCTTTTTTCTCTTCTAGAATTTGCCGAATTGATGAGTTGCACGTTTATTAAGAGGTATCAGTGTAATACTGCTTCCCGTAGTCTATGTTTCTCTAATAAGATGAGTGCCTTCGTTACGCCCAGTATTAATTAAGAGTCGTAGAATTGTCAAAAAGTATAAGCGGGAATATATTTACAGCAGTTTTCATTAAATTCAGGAACGCTTAAATCAAACCTTTGAAAAAAAAATAGAACGAGCGCTGGAATTGATCCAGAATTTCTGATTTGATTTTCCACGATCCAGGATTTGTTTTTCAGATGTAACCCGATTGTTTATCTACGAGAGGCGCTGACTTCTCCTATTCTACTTGCTTACCGGTCAGAATATTATGACTCCTGCCAGATCAAACGCTTCGGAAGGAACTAACGACCAAACTCATTCAACAACGCTCCAACTCAGCTCCCTTTCTTCCGTTTCTTCTAATCCACCTCCTCCTCATTTGGACTTAGAAATATCTAATTGCATCTCAAATCGGGAAGAGCTAAATTCTAATTCAATTTCAAACAGCCACCAGATTAAAACAACAACGGCGAAAGGCGCCCAAGTGTGTAGTTCTTCTAAAAATAACCCCTTGACCTACAGCATCACTAAAAGTGTCAACACGGATGAAACAAGAAAGCGAAGCAAAGCTACTCGTGACGAAGACTTCAATGGTAATAATATAATAAAAGGATCGCCACTTTCAACTTGGCAACAGGATAGTTGTAGAGTAGCTGGTGGTGTTGGTGTTTTTGATACCAGTGGAACTATTAGCAAAGATAACACCACTTGTCATTCATCATCCACTTGCAAAGGTAAAAATAGCGAGTCTTCTATCGATCAAGGCTATTCTAGTGTGAATAAAACATATACTACAGCCGCCTCAAATAATACCCAACAGAACACACCAGTAGCAGTTCCATCTAGTGTGGCGAAGAGAACGTATAGTAACAGCAACTCCACCGCCAATTCATTCATAACTAGTTGTGTTATTAGTAGTAGTAGTAGTAGTAGTGTGAGTGTTAGTAATAACAGAACTCTCGGTGGTAGCAATCCTTTTGAGTTCGCCGCTGCCGCAGATGCGAATTCGAAAGTCTTTGATGACTGTCAATATAACCAAAGTCCACGAGGTCAACAACAAGAGTTTTCAAGCGGCGATTCATCGTTGGTGGAAATAATGGCGACTAGTGCTGTTAGTAGTAGTAGTAGTCTTTCTAGGAGCAGCAGTACAAGCAGCTATACTACATACAACACACCAACCATATCAGCAAATAGTGCAGCCCAAAGTTATAGCGACCTGAACAATTCTTTAACCAACTCTAATAATAACACCAACTCACTGGTTAATAACTCCACTAACTACCCTTCGAATTCATCTGTCGCAACTTCTAACGCGCAACCAAACACTACCAACCTTGGTTCTCAATTGGAAAAAGCAAGTAGCTCCTCTTCAAGTATGACAAATGGCCCATCTTTGAACAACTATTCAGCTGCGAAGATGACGATGATCAGTGAAAGTTCAAACGCAGCAGAGAAACTGAATATGCCGACTTCACCAAATTCACGACATCGTAGTCGAGGATTTACTGATAGTGTGACGTTTCTGGGACATTCGGGAATTTCAGCCACGGGCGATAGTGCTCAAAATTTGGGATCGAATCCCGAAAAATTTTCGAACAGTGATTTCCCGTTTGTCGGTGCTGGAACACCACAAGCTTCATCGACAATGCAAAAAAGCATGTCAGAGACAAAGTTAGACTCGAATAATGAGATAAGCAGTGATGGCTTAGCATCCAATTCGACCCCACAATCGAAAAGTTCAGCGGCGAAATCTTCGAAGAAAGATACTTTGAGAGAACAGAAAAAGTTTTACAGACAAGAGAAGAAGAAATTTGCGCAGGAAATAATGTCGACATTAAATGATCCCTCGATTGAAATGATTTCGAATTTCCTGAAAGTGAGGACCAATTTGAAAACTTGGATCAGACTCTATTGCGTGTTGAAGCCAGGGTTGTTAGTGTTGTATCGCAGTCAGAAAACGAACAAAAGCAGCCAATGGGTTGGAACTGTGTTGCTAAGTGCATGTCAGTTAATGGAACGACCCTCGAAGAAAGATGGCTTCTGCTTCAAGTTATTCCACCCCCTCGAGCAGTCCATCTGGGCTCTGAGGGGTCCCCACGGCGAGAGTACCTCCCTGATGGGACTGAATTTGCCCTCGTGTTACCTCATATTCAGGGCGTTGTCTGACTCGGACGGAAAATGCTGGATGGACCATCTGGAGCTGACTATGAAAATAGCTCCTGCCAGACTGAAGAGTTCTATGAACGGTAACTTAACTGTTGAATAAAATAAATTTGAGCCCTTCATTAAAAGTCGATAAACGTAGTGAAAACTCTTATATAGGTCTTGGTAATTTTTCCCCGATTTTTTTTTCAGGAAAACTTTATAATATGCTCTAATAATTACAGATATGTATTCATACATATTAATGCATTTATGAATGCGCTTACCTCATATATGCACTCTTTTTTGTTCAATTCAAATTCATCTGCTGAAAGTTATAAATAGCGCACTCCAAATACATATGTGAAGAAATGGTGCAAAACCGTCTTGTTTCGAAAGTCGATTTTCTTTTTAAGATTTCCCAGCGAAATCAAAACTTTACCTATTGATCAGTCTTCTTAAATTGAGATAACTTTATCAAAAAAGTGTCAATCATAATTTCGCCTTGAAATTCAAAGAGAGTCAGCTTAAATCGAAATTTTTCTTACTTTGAAATTCTGTAGATTTTTCCCGTTTCATTGCGTTCATTGACTCTTTCCAACTGTCCGTTGGCTATGTTTCAAAGTTAACTGAAAACTAACGAGTAACACTCTACAAAACCTAAATTTTGATCTGAGCAATATCTTGCCTTGTTTTCGTATTCAGACACCGTCAACAATGACAGTCTTCTTGAGCCAGAAGACCACGAAGACTTCTATGATCAGGATCCGGATAACATAGAGAAGATTCACTTTCGAGAGTCTGTCTATCAGAATGACCTCGAGGAGGACGTTCTAGAGTCCGAAAACGACGATGGAATTGCTCGACTTCACCTCGACAGCTCCTCGACTGTGGATCCAAACGAACCTACTTCAGCCCCAAATAGTCCGGAAGTGGACATCGCAGGAGCCCCTGGGAACCCGGTGGAAACTCAATACGTGTTGGCGCCACCGGAAGTGATGGGCGATTTGGCGGGAGGGGGTCAAGAGGAAGCAGTCCACGGCGAGAACAAGAGTCTGATTTTGACGCTGGTGAAACAAGTGAAACCAGGAATGGATCTGTCAAAAGTCGTGCTGCCAACTTTTATTTTAGAGCCAAGGTAGTTTTTTTTTATTTGTTGGTTGAACTGCAGAGATGAGTGTGATGTCATGAAAAAAAACAGTGTTGTTCTAAAAGAATCCAAAATCTAGACCTTTCTTCAATTGAGCTGAGCTTTCAATTGAAATCAAGTCTCTGCTGAACTTATCTAAACAATTGGGTGGAGGTGGCAGTTTAAACTCAATAAACTGTTACGCATACAAAACTGCTGTGTATAAAAAGCAAAAGGGGGCTATTATGACATCAGATTGGTAAATGATGCTTTCTTGCGCAATAATTCTTTCTCTGTTTCGCTGGTTTGTTAATTTAATGAGCTTTGTGATGTTGTAGGTCTTTTCTGGACAAGTTGAGCGACTACTACTACCACTGTGACATGCTCACAAGTGCAATAAACCAGGATGACCCCTTCGAACGAATGAAGGGCATCGTCACATTCTACCTCGCAGGGTTCTACAAGAAGCCGAAGGGACTCAAAAAACCCTACAACCCTATTTTAGGCGAATACTTCCGCTGCTATTGGCAACATCCCTCCGGATCCAAAACCTTTTACATCGCTGAGCAGATTTCCCATCACCCTCCAATCTCATCATTTCATGTTTCAAACCGTCAAGAAGGTTTCGCTATAAGCGGAACTATTTTAGCCAAATCTCGTTTTTACGGAAACTCCGTCAGCGCCCTTTTCGACGGAACTGCAAAGCTAACGTTGTTGAACAAAGGCGAAGATTATGACATAACCTTCCCATACGCGTTTTGCAAAGGCATACTGTTTGGAACTTTGAGCATGGAACTTGGTGGGAAAGTACACGTGAACTGTGTCAAGACGGGATATCATACCGATATCGAGTTCAAACTGAAACCTTATTTATTTGGCGGCAAGGATTCCACCAATACCATTTCGGGTAGCATTTCACTCGGTGGTAAAAAGCTTGCGTCACTCGACGGAAAATGGGACGATGAAATTTTTATGACAGACTTCAGAAATCAAACGCCTGAAAGATCAAAAATTTGGGCGGTCACCCCTGAAGTGAAAGGGAAACGGTTGCCTCGATATGTCGTTGACTTTTCCGACCAAGAGGAGTTTGAGTCTGAAAAATTGTGGTTCAAAGTTGGAGAAGCGATTCTGAAAGGAGATCAAAATGCGGCAACCGAGGAGAAATGTGTTCTTGAGGAACGACAGAGAAAAGAGGCAAAGGAACGTATGCAGACAAGCCAACTATGGGCGACGAAGTTTTTCAAACAAGATTTGGTAGATGCAGCTCAGTTCATATACAAGTACGACGATTACAGACCATGGGATAAAGAGAACGACATGCGTCAGTATGAGAACCAAGGCGTAATCCGAACGCTCACTAAGCATAAAATTGCACCGCTTGTGCGATCTACCAGCTCACTTAATGGAATTAACTCGCGAGGTCCACCTATTGGAGCTGGGTTCACCAACTCACTCGATACTCCAGTCGAAGCTGACGAGGAAACTTCGGGCGATGATAGATGGCCCGACTCAGTCTCAGAAACTCAGCCGGTGGTCGGGTATGCTGATGCTGCGAAAAAGATATCGCTCGGAGCTGTGCCCGCGGAACAACGAACGAGGAGTCGCAATTCGTTGTCGGTCAGCCGCACTCCAGTCGGATCCCCGACTCACAGTGCCACCGCGACGCTAGCTCTAACTCGTCAGATGACCGAACTGGTGGAAGAAAATACGAAGACACTTCGTTTGATCCAAACCGAGTTGAAAACAGTTCGAGGCGAGAGAAATAGAGCGCATAACATCATCACTTTTATCATCACTGTTGCAATAGCACTTTTAGTACAGCTTCTTTTCCCGCATTTTTCTCACTTGTTCCGAAAATGAAAATTGTACTCTATTTATTTGGCATTGAATACTACCAAGTTGAAGTTAACTTTGTTTAGTTCCAATTTTGAAAATGGCTTGTTTTGGAGAGTTTCTCTATAATTTATCAAATGAACTGTAATTTTTAGATTTAATCGCATTATTTTCCAATTCAAATTTGTTCTCACGTTTTTCCCAAAGAAGTTAATGTCTAACAAAATGGCATGAAATATGTCGAGGCAGATTTTTGCAAATTTTAGTTCTAGCACAAGATACACAGTGCTGGTATTAATTAATGGGATTTTCATACGTTCTTGTTCAGAAAGAGAAGTGTTTTGAATAAATCATCTAAAGCTACCTTCTAGCTACCTTCTAATCTGTTTTCAAGGCCGAGAAACAGAGTTATCAAAAATTTTGAGAAGGTTAGTTTTCATTTGTTTTGTTATTGATTTCTTGGGCTTCGACATAATCAGATTTTGTGTATTCATAGATCCTAGAGTAATGATGTCACTTTGTTTTTGTTTGTGATTATTTCATTAAATAGTTACGCTTGCGGAACATACACGTTTTTTTTTCATGTGGACAAGCTGTTTAACTAAATCACTGAGTCAGTTCTTTCTAGAGAACTCTTTGTCAACGCTAACCTTTCGACAACCAGAAGTTTTTTTTGACATGGCTGCATTTTAAATTACCGTTCTATTTGAAATTCTTTAATGTTGGTTGTAAATTTACTAACTCAGGTTTGATTTAATTCAAGTTTTTCTCTTTTTTCTGTCTTGGCTTTACCAAAACTTAACAAAATACTGGTAATGCCATGATGAAATGCGCAAGTTCATGAATTTGCGCTAGCGATGGCGAGAATTATTTTGCTATGCTCAATATGAAAGATATCTTTAAATTTGGAACATTTTCCTCAATAACGGATTTTTGAATTTCTGGCTTGAAGCTTACGCGTTTTGAGCAGCTTTAAAAATTTGATCATTTTTCTCGAAAAACATTACAAGCAATTTTGGTGTGAGCAAGGGTATTGCAACCGGGTACTGTACTTTTTCGGCAAGAAATTTGCTCACAAAATGTTGCTCGTGCGTACACTAGCCAGCTTGCGAGCGTGGTGTATTAATACGAACCTTCTTTTTTCTAACCTAACTCGCAAATGTAAGTGATCAAAAAAAAGTGTTAACTTATGTGGTGGCACTTTTGCCGTAATCGCGATCTGTAGCATTGCTCTCCTTTTACAGGTTCAGCTTTCTTGTAATTTCTGAATAACACTTCCAAAACCCCCATAGGGGTGTAATTGAGCAAAATGTTTTTAATTGACCAATTTTTTATAATATAAAAAGGATTTTTTTTATACTAAAATGAAATTTCTAGTTTTTTTTAACAAATAACAGTGTTACAAATAACACAAATTTACTGTTTTTTAGATCTGATTTTGAATGATTTTCTTCAATTTTCTTTGTATTTCGATTAAATGGTTTTCTTATTTGTTGTATCGGCTTAGTCATTTTGTATTGCCCCAGTATGAAAGGCTTAGTGGCCTCATGTTGCGTCAATTGAGGAGCGAAATAGGTTTTTTATGCTTGTTAGTCCTTTGAACAATTGATTTAAAAAAAATTTAAACGCCTTTCTGTCGATGTTAAATTTTTTTGCTTCTATCTGCCCTATTTTCTAAAATGAATTTTTCTCTAGACAAATCGAGGCAAGGATATTAAAATCTATTTTTTCTTGACTTTGTTCTTAACTTTTTTTTTCACCTTGCGGCTTTTTTCCCTGCCAGATATTTCGTTATGCTGAGTGTTTTGTGTTGCATCGCAAATGATGCGAAGCTCTACTGTGCGTCTGTGTTCCATAACTATCCTTGCGTTGCAATAGCAGCCCACTTTTTTCATAGAATAGCGCATTTTTACCATTCTTAATAGTTTCACGCCTAGCAGCGTTGAGCCCTTTACCTCCTTTGTATTTTGTATTTTGATAAGGTCATTGAAATGTTGTAGACATGATTTGTTACTTAGGGAGCCAAATTTCAAAAGTACTCCGCTGCTTGTGACAATAACACGCGCCTAAATCTGACCTGGATTGCTTTCGATCAATATAATACTATGTGGAAAAATATATCAGCTTTGAAATAAAAATTCACTTTCTAAAATCCAGTGTCCTTAGTTAACTTCGTATGCATGTGAAACGTGATTTTTTTCAAGAAGATATACACAGATTAGATCTCTTCGCTTGTAATTGTTTTTCAAGACTACAAAAGACCATATACCGAACAAGCAAATCTTCAAAATATGCTGAAATAACTACAATAGAGATATCTGTAAAGTGTACTTGTACTGCACATGAATACGAACCGATATCCGAACCGAAATACGAACCAAAATTTTTTTGGAAGAAACTTTATCCTCATTGAAGGAAACCTAAGACTCATCAAAGAGGACAGTTAATTTTTACTACATTCAAACTCGAACGATAGGTTACGATAGCTTAAGACCGGAGCTCTTCTATGTGCCTGCTTATTTCGATAGTCTCATTTAATTTTACCTCACTTTCTACGGCCTTCGAAAGGTTCAGTCGGGGGATTTTTGGCCTGCTTGTATTGAACTTTTTTTTTCAAATATCAGATGCACAAATTAGAGATGAAGGTTTCAATCAAAAGAACAAAAATGGGATATCCTCTTCTCAAGTGGCTATCACCTAAATTCGGTAGAAAAAAGTTATGGCCTCAAACAAGCCAATTTTTTGACATTTTGATTAATTTTGTTTCTAACCTTGGCTTTTCTCAAAAACTACCCTGCGAAATCGGAGATTAAGGGTTCAACCGCCGAAAAAGAACATCACTTATAAGAATCTCACCTGCGCCAGCGGCTATGACCTGAGTTCTGAAAAAAAATTATGAACCTAGAAAATGTCCAATTTTTGAAATTTTGCCCGTTTTACCAATCTTTTATTTTTCAAACACTAACCTGTTGATTCTGAAGTTGATAGTTCATTAAAACTAGCATGGCGCTTGGATTTTTTTCGGCGTAACCTTTTTTATTTTTTTTTTGAAAAACGCTGTTGTGGACTCCGCATTAATTATGGACTCCGCATTATAAAATTCCGCATTAATTTTTTAACTTTTTTTTGGAAATTTCTCGAAAACTACTTGCTAAATTTTATATTAAGAAGTCAATATAAAAAAAACAGGCGCGGAAATCTTCAACCACGAAATCAGGATGTGGAAAGCAGAGGCTTTTCCCATGCTTTAGTAGAAAAAATTTAATGGATGTAGAAAAAGTTGATCGATTTTTGGAATTCTTTTCACTTTTTTCTCGAAATCTACCCAGTCAAGTCTGAGATAAAGGCTTCAATTGAAAGAGCGAGTAGTAATGTTCTTTAACGAAGGCGGTTAATCACCTGCTCGAGTGCTCTTTTTTTGCATTTTCCTTGCTTGTGCTTGCGAAGCGGAGCTTCGCCTCTATGTAAAGATTAAAAATCACACGTTGACGAACGAGATGATTGTTCAAATGAATCTCATGGAGCCAATTCTCTGATCTGCCTGATGTTTGTTTCCGCACCTTGGTTAGCTGTTTTTAGTTTTTTTAAATCCAATCCTTGATAGTGTTCTTTGGCACCATCGGGTAATTACGGGTGTTTAACAGTTTTAGAACCAATTTTATGTACCCTTCTGTATGTATATTCGGTTGTGTTTTCTATTATTTCTATGTTTAACGTAACAGTAAAGTGGCAACCCATCAAATATTCTCGTTGTCTACTCTACGACTCATCAAAGAGGACTCATCAAAGAGGACAGTTAATTTTTACTACATTCAAACTCGAACGATAGGTTACGATAGCTTAAGACCGGAGCTCTTCTATTTGCCTGCTTATTTCGATAGTCTCATTTAATTTTACCTCACTTTCTTCGGCTTTCGAAAGGTTCAGTCGGGGGATTTTTGGCCTGCTTGTATTGAACTTTTTTTTTTCAAATATCAGATGCACAAATTAGAGATGAAGGTTTCAATCAAAAGAACAAAAATGGGATATCCTCTTCTCAAGTGGCTATCACCTAAATTCGGTAGAAAAAAGTTATGGCCTCAAACAAGCCAATTTTTTGACATTTTGATTAATTTTGTTTCTAACCTTGGCTTTTCGCAAAAACTACCCTGCGAAATCGGAGATTAAGGGTTCAACCGCCGAAAAAGAACATCACTTATGCGAATCTTACCTGCGCCAGCGGCTATGACCTGAATTCTGAAAAAAATTATGAACCTAGAAAATGTCCAATTTTTGAAATTTTGCCCGTTTTACCAACCTTTTATTTTTCAAACACTAACCTGTTCATTCTGAAGTTGATAGTTCATTAAAACTAGCATGGCGCTTGGATTTTTTTCGGCGTAACCTTTTTTATTTTTTTTTTGAAAAACGCTGTTGTGGACTCCGCATTAATTATGGACTCCGCATTATAAAATTCCGCATTAATTTTTTAACTTTTTTTTTGGAAATTTCTCGAAAACTACTTGCTAAATTTTATATTAAGAAGTCAATATAAAAAAAAACAGGCGCGGAAATCTTCAACCACGAAATCAGGATGTGGAAAGCAGAGGCTTTTCCCATGCTTTAGTAGAAAAAATTTAATGGATGTAGAAAAAGTTGATCGATTTTTGGAATTCTTTTCACTTTTTTCTCGAAATCTACCCAGTCAAGTCTGAGATAAAGGCTTCAATTGAAAGAGCGAGTAGTAATGTTCTTTAACGAAGGCGGTTAATCACCTGCTCGAGTGCTCTTTTTTTGCATTTTCCTTGCTTGTGCTTGCGAAGCGGAGCTTCGCCTCTATGTAAAGATTAAAAATCACACGTTGACGAACGAGATGATTGTTCAAATGAATCTCATGGAGGCAATTCTCTGATCTGCCTGATGTTTGTTTCCGCACCTTGGTTAGCTGTTTTTAGTTTTTTTAAATCCAATCCTTGATAGTGTTCTTTGGCACCATCGGGTAATTACGGGTGTTTAACAGTTTTAGAACCAATTGTATGTACCCTTCTGTATGTATATTCGGTTGTGTTTTCTATTATTTCTATGTTTAACGTAACAGTAAAGTGGCAACCCATCAAATATTCTCGTTGTCTACTCTACGACTCATCAAAGAGGACTCATCAAAGAGCACTCATCAAAGAGGACAGTTAATTTTTACTACATTCAAACTCGAAC